TCACTACACATCACTGCAATTGGCCAATCAGAGTCGTTTGTTTTATTAGGGTCTTATGCAAAATACAAGCGCGTGATGCAATGTATGGAACGGAAATTTCTATGAGAACACCTACACTAGAATTACTGATACGATTCCAACTCAATACAGTTTATTTTTTATGAAATATGTTTCATCCTGTTGGATTGGGTATGCGAGAGGAATTGGATTTGCTTGTTCTGACTGGGGACTAGTTCGGAGATTTCGGTTATTTGGACAAAAATTAATTTGGACAATGTTTCCCTTTTATTCAGTATAGTTCAGAACTGATTGCTCATTTTACAACCAATATTCGCCCATTAGTCCGGATCAGTCGAAATATTTTTGCAACACACAAACATCCCGCTTTGTTACTATCGCTTCGGATACTACAAACTGTCCGTGTGAGACAATTACCGCCTCGTTACCGCTAGAACTCTGTGTGCGCAAGCAATCCACGCGATGGATATGAATATTTCACGACGGATACATCGCATCGGCGGTGCTTGTGGAACCAACAACTGCTTTTTTCCACATCATGGTCCAATTGTCTGTTGTTGGGTGAATGTCGAATGTATCGTGACCAGTACTGGGTATGTCCTAACCGGGCATACCGTTGTGCACGTTTACGCATTAGGAACAAATTTCGGACACGCGTAAAGTGGAACTGTGCTTCATGGCCGTCCATTGTCAACGGTACTGCAAGATTAGGATATGGGCGTAAACGACAAAATAGTCGTTTGATATGCCTGAAATGTTGCAAAGTTTGTGAATACGAATTTTTGACAGGTGGAGGAACACAACTGCGAAAACGAGCACAAATTTCAGACAACACAACTTGGCTTGTCGTGAATAAAAACAGACAACCAAGTGTACGCTTGATATTCAGAAAAAGTGAACCAGTTAATCAAAATACAAAAACGCGGTGGTGATTTTTGATCATGTGCTATCTGGGTTGGAGCCATTTATTTATTCATTGTATTGTATTGTGTATAACTTTTGCCAGCATCGAAGCTTGCAATTCAGTTGAAAAACTATACACGTCAAACTTCACAAATACTATGTTTAACGGGAATAAAATGTTTACAGATATGGGGAAATTTCATAATCTAAGGTTAAGACAAAGTTTCAAATGCGATGGAAATGTAGGTGATGACCGTCAAAAGCCACTGGATAGATTTTTCGTCCTGTTTGGGACTCGTCAGTAGTGCGTACGTTTTGTGTCCGTGTACAAACTCGATACTTTAAATTAAGACAAAGTTCACTTATTACTCTCTCTCTCTCTCTTTGTTTGGTAGCTGATGTGCAAGATAGGGTTTAGGTGAATTTCGGTAAGCATTCATTGGAGATGAAGCTTGTCGGAATCAGGAACGTGTGGAGGAACGGGAACGACAACGTGTCAGTTCTGCGTGTAACGCGTGGTCAAGATCTGTGAGAATCCCCTCCGCAAATTTCTTACAGGAATTTGTATGTAAGTTTCGCAACGAACTAGCTCACAAGAATAGAAGAAATAATAGTTAAATCGCGGAATAAGACTTTGAAATCCTGCTTAAGTGAGCCAGAGAAAATAACTGGGTAACAATAAAGTACTATGGGGAAAACACCAATACAAAAAATATAAATAACTGACAGGGATACGCGAACTTACCTCGGCTTTCGAATTTGAAATGACCGGTGCTGTAATTTACCAATGGAGTTATTTTTTAATTTATTAAATCCAATCTGGTCAGCGGGTCAATGATCAGAAATTTCAGAACAAGCTAACCCAGTGACCACAGCTCCTGAAAGCCTATTATACCACTGTAACTAACTGTGTATTTGTTAGAGTCAAATAAAAAACAGTTGAATTGATCAGCGAGAAATTGGGTGTTCAGCGAAAATTTTCGACAAAAAAAATGAAATTCAAGTTCGCCATTCAAATAGTGACAAATTCGCAAAATTAAATGGTTGAAAGTATCTCTCTTTATGCCCCCCCCCCGTCTCGCTCTGTCGGTTTCACATGACAGAAACACCCAGTGGACGTGTGAGATTCCAGTCAGATGATTGCACCTGACGTGTCGTGTTCGGTTTTTGGCCCAGTTGCTATCGATCCAAGGTCTGGATCGCAGCACCTTCAACCGGTTGCGTTGCAAACGATTGCCCCGGATTTCTGCTTGGATTATATGACAAATACGAGGCGCATGTATTCTTCTGTGTTGATATATCACAGAATGATGCGCAGACTTCCAGAGCAGCAGCAGCAGCAGCAGCAGCAGCAGAGGCTGGTTATTTTGCGCTCTCCATCCAAAACCAATCTGAATGATAATGAAACCATTCTAACATAAGGTGATCCTAAATCGCTTCGATCGTTGGGGAATGAATCGATGATACAGAAGAAAGCACGTGAAGAACAACCTCTGTAATGTTCTGAATAGTTCGTTTAATTGCATACTGACATTTACGATGGCAGTAAAGTTCGAACTTCGGAATCGAAAAATATATTCTAGGAGGTGCTATTTTATTTTGAATACCGTACGTTCCATAACGTTGGATTGTGAACGGTCTGACAGTGGCCAACAATCATTTCTACCTGGGGTGGCACTGATGGTGAGTGCGTGCGGCGTCCAATCTTTGGCGATTGTGACTGGTGGATATGGGTGCTTGAAATCGGGCAACATGTTGCGCACGCTGAATACATGGTGCGCAAAAAAGCGAGTCATGCAACACACTGTATGTCCGCATTTAACTCACAATTATTTGTGGCTAATGCTGCAGGATAATTGATATTGATTGCTTGATCAATTATCCCACAACACTAATTACAAGTAACTGCGAGTTAAATGCGAATTAACAATCCAGCCTAGTAGATTTTTGACCAGTTACCCCTAACTTGCATGGAAGACCTGAATTGGTGGGGGGGCTTAGATTGAAGTTAGTAGATAGTCAACTGTGTCTCCTTTCCCTGTTATCGGGCTAAATTGAACTTACTGACTATCACGGAAGACGACATCTGAACAACCATGAATTGGCAATTCCGTTCAGCCCTAGTGTGAGGTGGTTGACACAGTGGTAACACACACGACTTCTATGCGATGAGTTCGGAGTTCAAATCCCGGACAGGACGAGGGATATGCACTAC